GGAAAGAGGAGACGAAAATGGACGAGCGGAGCATCGTTAGATAGAGTATGAAACGCTCTTCCGAATACATACTAACCAAACATCTGACTGATTCCTGCGCTTGAGCGTGAGGAGAGAAAAGGCCATGTGGGCGCGAGAATCCATGTCATACTGCTTCAAAGCATGAGGCATCCATCGAACGAGCTTTCGCACTTTGCCGATTGACTTCAATCCACGAATAATTGTGGACTGACTCCCCATGGGTGACTGCCAGTTCACGAGTGCTTTGATACGGTTCGGGTTCCACCTGGCCCCACAGCACCTCCAAATCCTACTCCATTGGGCGTCCCGAGCGGTCTTCATTTTCGATGGAATGGTCGTCCGACGTGAACTTCGTGTACCACTTGTGAATTGTGCATATAGCAGGAGCACCCTTCTTGTAAACTTTCTCACCACGTCTATCGATCTCCGCGGGTTTTCGGCCAGATAAAAAAAGTAATAGGATGGTGTTGCGGAAATGGAGTTGCGACGGCTTGAAATCATGGGGCATGGTTGCAGGAAAGGAAACAGGTAGGTGTGCTCGTTAGTATGTACAGGGTTGGCCATAAATATTGCGACAAGGTTTTCACCTTATATCTCAGAAAGCAAAAGTGCAAACGAGTCATGAACGTAACATTTTTTAAGTAACAACTGGTACATTAACAATCATGAGTCACTTGTCGATTCGGCCACCTTTGGCACGGACGACAGCGCGGAATCGCTCCGGAAAGGCGTTGAAGACCGGACGTAGGAGTGCGTCGTCGATTTCGTCCCATTCTCGCATGAGCGCTGCCTTCAGAGAATCCAAATTAGGGTGGGGAGTGGCGCAGGCCTTGCTCTCAAGGTAGGATCATAAGCTATAGTCCAGTGAGTTCAAATCAGGTGATTCCGGCCACTCTTCTGCCGGGATGAAGTCGGGGAGCTCGCTTTTGCACCACGCTTGTACGACCTTGGCCTTGTGGGCGGGCGCCGAATCTTGCTGGAATGTTCACGGGTGGCCGTTGAAGTGAGAATTCGCCCACGGGAGTAGAACATCTTCCAGAATCGTCTTCAGGTGGTAATCTTTGTCGATTTTGATGCCGGGGTCAACGAATACGTCAACGGCGTCTTCCCCGAGGCACACACCCCTGCCGAAACCATGACTTGGGCAGGGTGCGCGGCCCGGTTAACGGCTCTTCCCTTCTTGTCGGCTTCCTTGGCATTCCTTGCGATCACTCTGACGTTCGTTGAACTGCTGCTCGACGGTAAAGAGCTTCTCATCCGAAAAGAC